AAATAGAAATGTGATTGCTGAAGAGAAGCACGAAGTGAAGAGAAGAGAAGCAAGCCAACACTTAAAGGACACTGAAGTAAATTTTTCACTTTCCTTTGTTTGCAGTCTCCTCTAAAAACTTCTGCATTTTACTGATTTTGGCTCATTTTGATTTTAAAACATAAAGTTGTGAAATTCTTTTTGTGTCATCATATTATGCATCCCCACGATCATAGTTTTCTGGGGCTAACAGAAAAAAGAAAATTACTTCTAATTTTGCTTCTTTGAAGATGTTATTCCAGTATGATTTTCATTTTGGGGTCTTAATTTTTCTAATGCAGGTTTCATAAAAAAAATAAAAATCACACTACTGTTAAGACTTTTTCCACAGCAGGGCAACAGTAGTGGCACAGAATAGTGAGCTAGGCCTTGTATTAGCTGTCATGCACTATTCCCTACCCCTGCTGTCCCTCCCAACAATACAATCAGTCTCCTGTAATGATAGGCTAATTCAAAATTATTAAAATGTCAGAAAAATATACCCTAGAGCAAAAAAAGAAGCCGAGTAATATTAAGATTATACAATCTCCAAATTGTGAGAGTAGGTGGGAGGGATAATGAGCACTGTGTAGTGTTGATCTCTTCAAATGAACAGAATTGCACACAAATAACTTCCACTTCTGCAAGGATGCCATTAGCTCAGATTTTGGCTCCTGGGGAATATGGATTTTGAGAGGAATCCTCCCCAAAAAAGAGAGAAGGCTGCAATAAGCAGCAATAAAGCCACTGCCAATGGTGAGAACAAAAGTCTTTTGTTTTTAATGTAAAAGAAAAGGAAGGAAACCCACCCCCCGGCAGATATCTTTTAAGTGCCTAAGCAGACCAACTGCTCAAACTTGCAAAGGTAAGCAGTAATATAGGGAAAAAAGCTTCATTTGACAACAGGCTAATTTAAAAGATGGACTTTTTAAAATAAGACTTCTTTGGAATGAGAACATTTGGCCTTCTTTATCTTGAAAACAATTTCTGAAAATGAAGTCTCAGAAATGGATTGATTTCTTCCAGTATTATTTGCTGTGGAGAGGAATGGGCTAGGACACTGTGTTCTAGATGTCTGCAATAGGGACAGACATCTAGAGGAGTCTGCAATAAGGAGCAGCCAAGGTAGCTTTATCTTGTGCTGAATGACCGTTGACAGAGCCTTCTAACTTCTGCTCAGCCAGGCCAAAAACTAAAAGGTGTACACTTGAATTTCCATTTAGACAAGCCCACTTGGTAGCTGTATGGCTCAGAGGCAAAAAGCTGGGTGGATTTTCAAAGGATTTCAGTCTTCTTCAAAGATATTTATTATTGCTGAATATATGAAGGAGGGTCCACTGCTTGATGTGCTCATGAGGCCATAAGAATAAAATGTCATTCATACATGGAAGGATGATACTGCCCTGAGGGGAGAACTTGGTTGAGTCCAAAGCATCACCTTTTTCTCACAAGATGCAGCATCTCAAGACCAGTCACTAGTGCCTAAAGTTTATGCACTCATATGCCTAAAGTATATGAGCTGATATAATTGACTCCAGAAGCATGATTTTCCATGTAAGAAATTTTAAATTCTGCAGTATGGAGGGATTCAAAACAAGCTCTCCTACAGGGCTGTCAAAATCAGGCCTTGCACCACAGGGAATATCTGAATCTTTATTTGCTTTTCTTTTAATATCAAGTGCTACATGGCCTTGACTGACAGGGGACTGTGACGACACTGGTTCAACGTCACCTAATTTATGATAGACAGGCACAGCTGCCAACTTTAATCTTTATGTTAGATTCAGAGAGCTGAAATAAATAGCCACATGGTTTTGAAGTGCCTCAAGGGAAGTGGTTACCTTGGGCCTGATTGCCCCACACCACATGTCCACTGGAAAAGACATGTTAGATCCTGCAGGTGTTTCAAGATATTAGGAGAATACAACTACACAGACAAGACTATAGATCTCTACTGTAGTTACAGGGCTTTTGGCTAGCTGAGGAAAAGTATGCTTTGTTATTGAGACTGAAGTCATGTTTTCAATATTTGTAGATTGGCTTAGGCCATCTCTGACAGAGCTGTGAACAAACTGATTTGGATCATTCTGAGGCTCTTCAGATCATCAGATATGTGTCTCTCCTGAGCGTTGACAGGACCTTTGGTAGTATGCTTTCTAAGGTTTCCAAACATACTTCTGGGTAGGACCTCCTCTTTGTGAGCCTGAAGATGAAACCTGGGTCTATGGACTCCTATACGCCATGTGCTGCTGGTGTAGGTTGCTGTAGCATGGAGGTGATTTGTTGCACCAGTTGCTTTTAGCTATCCATTGCTATTGGAAGGCCACCTGATGGAGCAGCTGTTACTGCTGGCATTGATGCTGGCAACTGGGCTTAGCAATTAATTTGACGAGTTGTTCCATATCTATGGATGAGAAGGAAAGTTTGACACCAGGTTTTCCTCAGTCTTTCCACCCCCATTGGCCAGAGTTAGTCCAACCCTCCAAGAGAGAGGTTAGTATCATTCATTTGCCTACATTCTTCATTGTATTGTAACAACATACTTAAAGCAGCTCCCAAGTAGTTTGTTCACAGTGTCCCCTGATTGTTCAGGTTGGGTAAGGTCTTCTCCTTGAGCTCTCCCTCACAGAACTACTTGATTGCAGCAGAGCTCATTTTCGTCATCTGGTTCCCCCCCCGCATGAACCAGGTTACCCTCTTTAACTCTCTCCTTATAGGCATTGACTGGAGGACAGGTACAGTGAAGGTAGAACTAGTCTGACTCAGAAGCCCTA